AATCATACCCAATTATTCTTTAATTTGTTGACTATTGTTAACCATCAAACTCAATTAAATCAATGCTGAATTATATATATTGTTGTAAAAATTAAATTGATTTTGGTACTACATTTATTCTACGTATGTAAAATTCTTCACTCATATTTTCTTTATATTTTCTCAAAGATACTTTTGATTGAATAGCCAGAAAACATCTATAGTTGAGCGTTTTTCTTAGGTCTTATACATTGCGTTTGACAAGGTTTAAACACAGGCTTACTGTATAAAATAAAAGATGTTGGATGTAAAAATAAAAAGATGACGTTATATTATCTGATAAAATCTTATTTACGGAATAGACAATTCTTTAGGGTCGCGGACACCGAGTCAAACGCCATTGAAATATGTTCAGGTATGCCGCAAGAAAGTGTTCTTGCTCCAATTTTATTAATCACTGCGAATTAATAATTTTGATCTTCAATAACCGAAGAACGATTTGTGTTTTGGCGGCTGAAAAGTCTCGAGGATAACTACTGAAAAACACATTTCTTTGAATTCTTTTTCTTTTTTTCTTCTTTTTCTTATTCAGCATAGTTTTCTTTGAGGATAATGTACCGATTATAGTGAACTTCGAACATTTTGAAATCATTTTTGTAGTACCTAAGTAAGTATGGTTTGTACTTTGCCACCAAATTTGGTGAAAATCTCTTCATTCGGCAAAAAATTTTACAGCGAGCAGCATCCTTGTGAGATCTGAGAATAGGATTTGATCACTGGGAAACAAATCTAAGAACTATAATAAGTAGGGAAGCAATTCGTACCCCTCCAAGTCATGTTTTTGCCACTGTTTTCACGGATTTATAACTTTTGTGCGTTGTCTTGATGAAGCAGCACTTTTTCTTTTCAAATAATGCCGCGTTCCCGATTTTGATGTTCAAATTATTGATTGGCAATAAATCTATGCAAAGAACCTATTTAGCACCAAGATTTTTCCTAATATTCGCGAAATTGATAGCGGAATCATTATGGATATTAGTGTCAGCTATCTCAGACAATTTGCTTTTCGATTTTCCAAAACGTTTTGGTTCTGCATAGTCAGTGTCCGTGTTGTCTCGATTAAAATCAGCGAATCACTTATAAAGCGATAATTTGGCTGTGATAGATTTTACCCATCAAAAAGCAATGACAAATCAACACACGAAATTGCTTTGAATCAGCGGTTTTGAAAAACTCAAAACTAGCTTCTCTTGAACCTCTGTAACTTGCAATCTAATCGTCGGATTGTCATGAAAATTTGACAGGTTTCATTTAAAGGTTGGTACGTCCTAAAAATCATATGCTTTTGTTAGTAGAGCCACCTGTGTGTCAGCCTCGGGACTTTTTAGCGATGTAATAGATCAAATTTTCAAAATATACGATTTGCTTCTCAATAGGAAATCAGAACTTTCGGCCAACAATAATCTGCTAATAAAAGAAACTCTAATTAAGCCCGTGTGCGTAGGGGCTTCAACTTGGGACACTGCCAAAAATATCAAGTTGAACATCATTCAACACGCTCAATACAAAATCCTGAGACAAATCATTAACGCTCCATGTTATACATCAACATGTATCACACATCAAGTCATCAAGATGCTCACCAATAGTGAACAAACTGCATTTGCTGCTTCCAATTACAAAAACAGAATCGACGTTCATAGCTGGCCAATGAGTTAGTTAGTTAATCAGCAAAATTTACCCCGTAAACCAGTTTACCAGACTAAAACGCAAATTACCCAATGAGACCATGCGATTTTTTGTATTTATTGCCATTATATTAGTTTTCTTTTGTTTTTATACTCTAGTATATTTTCGCTCGGCCTATTCGAACTAGGAAAATTCGCAACACAGAATATAAAAAATATTTGTTTGAAAATGAAAAATTTAATTAACAAAAGCTCAGTAACAACTATTTTCAGTCAAATTTTAAAAACAATATAAAAATCAATAAATATTTGAACATATTTAATGATATATAATAAATATTAGAACTGGATATATGTCTTCATTCAACAAGTTCTAAAACATCGTGCAATTTAAACAGTTTACAAATAATTTCTAAATATTGCGTAAAGACTTAGAAATTAGTGTAGACGTTACGTACCTACCGTCAACCAAAACAACGTTGCCGTAACTCCCGCTCGACATAACAAAAATAAAATTAACAAAAAATCACAAGATTGGACAACAATTCGTTTAAAAAAAAAAACAAAAACGTGATAAAGCCTATGATACGTCGCGCTCAAATAAAACAACATCTGCTGATTACTGGCTAAACCAGACGCCAACAAAAAATTATTATGACGTATTAGCAAAAATCCTGACACACACTTCTGTCCACCGCGTCCTATACTTATTAATTGAAAATTATCCAAGGAAAGCTCAATATTCGATTATTTAATGTGTTTTTTATTTTTTTTTTATTCAACAATATATTTACAACTGTCCTACATAGACATAAAGTAAATCTTTTGGCAATTATATATAAAAAATGACATTGATATTTAAATAGTGAAAAATACACAGTTGAATTTTCCTTTATAAGAAGAAATGTATATTAACGAGTAATTATAAGCTAATTAAATCACTAAATATTTTCCTTTTGAGTCTTCGTGCCGTGTTTGTGGATAGCAGTTTGTTGGCCAACTCGTTTGGGTATTCTTCGAGTCTGTCTTTGTGATTAACAGCGAATCTTTTCATCATGTTCAGTCAGGTGGAAGTATATTCTGGGGCGCCTAGAGCGAACCTAAGAACTTTGCTCTGAAACCTTTGAACGATGTTAGCATTACTTTATATGTGCTGCCCAAAGTGCTATGCCATATGTCCAAAACGGGCTTAAGTACAACTTGTAAACCAGTAGTTGTTGTGTACAGAAAGATGGGATCTCCCACCCATTAACCAATATAGTTCACTTAACTTTTTCTCAAGCTGTTGCTTTTCTTTTTTATGTGAATTTCCAATCCAGTTTGCGGTTTCGGTGCATGTCCAGATACTTACGTGTTCGACCTGAGGGACTTCTATTTTATTCACAGTTACAGGTGGACATGTATTGTGTTTGAGTGTAAAAGTGATGTGGGATGATTTTTGGCCATTGATCTCTAGCCTCCACAGTTTGTACCGTTTTTATTGATGTTATGTTAAGGACGTTGAAGTTGCTCTGAAGCAGTTGTGGAATTTCATGCAGCAAATGAAGCTATGTCTGTCAGGTGAAGTGAGAATGTCAGCTGTAAAAATTAAAAACAAAATTGGGTCAAGAACACTGCCTGGGAAACGCCTGATTTTATTATTTTAATAGGCGAGTTCATGCTGAGAATGTTTATGCAGAAACTTCGGTTTGATATGATTTATCCATAGAAATAGGTCATTGGGTAAAGTATTTTTATATCTTATATAGAAGTCCTGTTTGCCAAACTTTATCAAATGCTTGTGTGGTGTCTAAGAATAAAGCTGAGCAATATTTCTTTCTTGTAGAGTTTCGTTAATCTTATGCACTCATCTGTGGGTTGTTCATCGTTGAATGCATCTTTCTAAAACCGAACTGATGACAAGGAATTGTATTATTATTGTTCAATGTGACAAGAATTCTTTTAAGCAGCAATCTTTCGAGTATTTTGGAAAGGATGGGTAAAAGACTTATTGGTCTGTATGATGTTGTATAGGATGGATCCTTGCCAAGTTTTGGAATCAAGATAATCCTAGCTCTTTTCCAAGCTTGAGAAAAAATTTGAAGTCTACATATCGAAACCTTATAGACTTTGGTGAAAGGTGTTTCAGCATTTGCATTAAGGTCTTGTCTTATCCTGGTGGTTTACCTGATTTTGAATTTGTTATTTTTTTTGACTTCTGATAGGGAGAAGCGGATTGACGGAACTTGTGGTACTGAAGGCATGTTACGAAACCCATGCTGAATAAATTCTTCTTCGTGAGAACTGCAATTTTGGGGCGGACATTGAAAAACTTCTTCAAAATAGTCGGCAAAGTAGTTGACCTTGTCCTCATCAACTCAGCCCAGGAGTGTTGGCTTTTTTAATTGGTACCGTTTGAGCGACTAGTTTTTCAAAGCGAGTAGTTAGTATCTTTGGTAGAAGTTAAGTGTTTTAATTTTTCTTCAAAAACTTGGTTGTTAAAGTTCCGGAGCATGAATTTCAACTCTTTGCAGGCTCTGTTAAAATTAGATTTATCTACCGGTGATCGGGTGGTTTGCCAGATTTTCCTTTGTCTTCTTTCTATTGCGATTTGCCGTTTGATTGAAGTTGCGCAATTAATGTGTTGAATACCAAATTGTCTATAAAGTACAGTCAAAAAGATACAAAAAAGGGTCTAACTGTTTTTCTTACTGTGAGTCGATTTGCATGAAATTTGGAATGAAGCTTATTTTCAAAAGGTAAATCATTTGGGGGTTAATGAAAAATTAACATTGCAGGAATGGTGATATTGTAAATTGTTTGAATATTGCATGTGTGAAATTGTAAAGTGTTTTTAAACACATTTACCTTATAGTAAAACCGTTCAAACCTTTGAATAATTTACAACCTTTACACAACCCCTAAATTCAAAAATTCACAAAATATTTTGGTATGACATGAAAGGATTTAAGGATAGAGTAAACGATATTTGAAATTCTTTATTTCAATTATAGAATTTGAGTTCCTTTTCAACCTTTAAAAATACAGCTCATTAATAAAAAAATTATTATATTATATATTATAGTTTATTAATATGTAATTATTTTTCATATTAATTGCGTTTGTTTAATTTCAGATCCGATACTACGCTTCGCCAAAGTGTATTTCAAAGTTCATGAATGTTTCAAAATTCAAAACATTCATTGCAAGTTCGATTTGTTAATAGTGAGTGTAGTAAAGTGATAGTGAAGACTTTGTTGTTGCACATTTGTCGTTTTATGAGTGCTTTTGAGGTACGTTTCTACTAACCCAACTTAATTTAATGACGTTTGTGTGAATTCAGAGGAGACTAGACATTTAAATATAAAGTTTCGCATTTCCATAGGAAAATTTTCAATAATATTTTAACATGGAAGTTGACATCAGTGAGGATTTGAAACATTTGCATCTCTTGACTATTAAATTTACGATAGGAAATGATTCCTCAATTGCAAACGATTTATGTGATGTCATCAGAAACATAGATGAAGACACTCTACTTTTAGTCAAGCCTCATATCTTGATGGAAATTTGCAAATCTTTAAAGCTCGCAAACAACTCGGATCGGAAAATAGAATTAATTAAAGTAGCAAAAGTGTTATTGGATAAAACACCAGGAGGAGCTCTTCAACAGGGAGGTTTTTTTAATGTATTGTCAGGTGTAATTTCTTCAGATATAAAACTAACTTCCGAAGAACTTTTTGTTTCTGCTTTAGATTGCTTGTTAGTAATAACTACAAAATGTCCATTAGATATAAAGCAATGTATGTTTATTAAGATGAATGCCCCATTTTTGGGAAAATCAATTTATGCAGCTTCCCAATTGGCAAGAAAACATGCTTCTGCTGAAATAAAATATTTGGCTTTGAAATTCATTTCATCAATTTGCAATATTGATGATTGGGATCTAATTGCTACCGAAGCGCAACAAGAGTTTAGATCTAGAATAGCGGAAGTATTAATGTTTTTTTTGCCAGGCTTAGTATCAGCTTGTCAAGAAATAGCTTTGCAAAACATTAAAAAGCAGCATCGGGTAACAGTGATAGCATTGCAAATTGGGGTCGTGCGATTGCTATAGTAATGGAAGATGAGAAAAAAACTGAAAATGAGGTGCTAACAGCAAATGATTTTCTAAAGCTTGTAAATCCCGTGCAAGTTCCTGGAGAAAAATCGGCAAAAGACTGGTCAAAAGCTGGAAAATCAGATCTCATAGAGTATCTTAATGAGTCAAAACGTTCAACAAAATGGATGCAAGAAGCTTCTTCTAAAATTGCTAAACTATTTCCGCATTTGACTCCGATAATTACTCATGAACACCCCGAGGTTAGGTTGATGCTTGTATCATGCTGCGAACTCATACTAAAATATGCTTGGAATAATTGTGGGATTTGCAACTCTGATTTATTGGTAATATTATTTAGTTTATCCAGAGATGAAAACCAGAAAATTGCGCAAGTCAGCGAATCAATTTTACAGAGCATCATAAAAGAAAGAGGTGCTAAAACTGTCGTGCGAGTTATTGAAGGTGTTTTACATAAACGGATCTCTGACATACCAAATCTAATCAATACGATTGACGAACGCGCCCTTATGTCCTCATTAGACTTTCTTATCGGAGTTTCAAGTTGTTTAGGTAAATTAGCTGAGGAAATTTTTACTCTTCAAACGCAAGAGCGTTTATTAGATGTGCTGACAGTTGTTATTCAAATAGACATAGCTGCCGTTTCTTTAGATGAAAGTACGTCAGAATTAGTGCTTTTGTCAGACAACGTAAATCATTTATCTATTAAAAAGTTGCCCCCATTTTGCCACATCTGTGATAATGATAAAGAAATCCTTGAAAAAATTGAACTATTATGTTCTTATTTAGGTTCTTGCAGCGGGACATATTTAATTGACATTTTATTTACTCGCATCGAGCACATGGTTAATACTTTAGAATCAATAATTTTATCAAAATTTATTCTAAAAAAATCGGGTAGACAGTTTTTAGAAATTTGCAATAGCATGCTCAATTATTGGCAATATTATAACATATGGTATTTACCAACCGATATTAAAGTTGATAAATCACATGGGCTTGACTACAACAGCTGGTATTACTCAGATCGTACCCCAGGGTTATATGAAGGAAGCTTGGAAATCCGGTATACCGACATGTCCATCACAAATGACGATGAAAACAAAGATCAACTTTTTTCTGAGTTCTGTAAAAATTTACATGAAGTAAAATATAATACATTGCTTATAGCTTTGCAGTGTGAAGCCGTAGGATCTATGGCCATTGTAATGGGAGAGGACTTCAGACATTTTTTTTTGAAATATCTGTATCTAATTATTGAAAGATGCGGCCATCGCAGACAATGTATTCGAAATTCCGCTTTTTCCGCTGCTAAAGATTTGCAAACATTTTCGAAAGTTGGTAGTTTTTCTGAGCTTATAGAGGTTAATGCAGATTACTTAATAAATAGCATATCTGTTAAACTCAATCACATAATACATTATAATGCTCCTAATACTGGAGTTCTAGATGCTTTGGTGATAGTGATAGAAAATTGCAAGAATCCGACGCATTTGAGGTCCTTTGCCGATGTTTTAACAAAGTTGGAGGAGTTGGATTTTAAGCAAAAAGATGTTATCATTAGTTTACTGAAGGTGTACAAGGCATTTGTAAAACAATTAGCTTTTGTCCATAGCACTTATTCTGTGGCATCTAAAAAAGTAGAGCCATGCAGTACTAGTAATCTATTGCATTCTATTAAAGAGCTGCAACAGGCTATTCAAACAGAACACGATGAAAATATGATAAATATTGAAGATATTAACGAATCTGAAGCGTATGAACTTACTTCAGATGCATGTATGGAAGAAGATGCTGAAAAAAACTTACCACCAGATCACGTTACTTTGGTATCCACAATTTTAAAACGAAGCATTCCATTTGTATCGTCAGAAAATAATTATCATAGATTATTATCATTAGATATAGTTCATGCCGCATTGCCGCTTTTGTCAGTGCACGAAGACACCTTATTACCAGCCCTTCACGAAATTTGGAACCCAGTAGCATCGCGAATGAGAGGAAGGACTGATGCCGAATTAAGCGTTTTAAGAAAGTCGTTTTCTGTAGCATGTGCGCTAGCCTCCTTTGGGAAAGATTTCTTGAGGCAACGAGCAATCGGCAGTGTTTTGGCTAACGCATTGAATTTTCTGTTATCAAATGCTCAGGAAACTAAATCAAAAGCAGAATGTTCTGAAGCATATAGGCATACTCAATTATTCAAATTGCAACTTGAGATACTTTCAGGTTTGGGAGAATTATGTTATAACCTCCAGTTTGGAGAAAAGACTAGGTTCAAAGTTATGGCGGCTATATATAGATATCTTCATGAGAACGCGATTTCGGAGTTACGAGAAGCTGCCAAAAATGCATTTATCAGGATGGCAAAAGATAATCCTGCTGATGTAGCACATTTTTTGGCTACAATTTGGCCTTTGCAAACTTTGTCTTGTGATTTGGAAAGTTTTCATTTGCAAAACTTTAGTACCAGTGTATTAGAAATAGAAAGAACAATTTACGAAAGCTGGTGAACTTTATATTCAGTCTCCTTGGGATTCACATAGCGCAACGTAGGTTAATTTTTAATATTGAATTATAAATACAAATATTTAATACTCACTTTTTTTGTTTCTAGGTTTCCGGAATTATTATACCGAGGCACCTAAATAAATTCCAGATAATATAACATTTAATGATACACGTCTTGAATAAATATTCTCGATGCTTTAAAAAATTCTTTTTTTAAAATATTTTTATATCTACGAGTATTTTGTGGTAAATCTTACTGTATTTAATCAAATTAGAACTACTCAAATTGCTCATGCTAAAGACTAGTACTTTTAATAGTTTTTTTAATACTCGAAAATTAAGTTATTTTTGATAAAATATTGCTAGAGTTTATTTATTATATAATATAATATCTAGTTTAAATGTAAAATGTTTGTATATTATTATGTGCTTAGACTTGTCTTGAACAATGACGTAATAATATTTATATATAATTAATCATGAATGATATCACAAAGAAATATACCTCATGAAAATAAACATAACAATGACATAAAATTATTGTTATCAACCTTGCAATGCTGTTGATAATTTATAGCTATTAATTCCAAAGGAATTTAAAAATGACTCAATAATTTTGAAACAAACTAATATTATAAATAAAGGAAAATAAAACTCGAATTATGATTGATTGAATTAATTTATTGGCGTTGATCAATGCGGTGAAAATTTGTGTTTGAATTAAGCGCTGAAGCTTATGTGCACAAGATATTCATGAAAATGGATGAAAATTCGAGGCACAGTAGATCAGGACCTGAAAGTCCACGATCACCATTGCTCAGAGTAGGCTTAGAGCAAAATTCACCTGAAGCTTGGCAGGAGCGATGTATGGAACTTCAGATTGAACTTCATAGGACCAGAAGTCAAGCCACAAGGGTTCGAGATATGCTTCGTGATAAGGTAAGTTTTTTATATTCAATATTTATTATCATTTACAATAATTATTAATTTTTTATAATTGGCCTGATTTAATAAATAATTAAATAACATGAAGCAAAAAACCTTCTTAAAATTGTCTCTATTAAATATTTAACCATAACCAAATTTCAACCTATATAAACATAAACCAAAAGATTTTTATTTTTTATTTTTGAAGTAAAACTTCTTTAGGCGCGACATGGGTGTAAATCCGTACAAATGCAACGGAAATGAGTTACGGCAAGGTCAAGTGCCAATGATTCGTCATTCGCTTTTGACGATATCTCTATACGGGTTCGATTGTGATTGGTCGTATTTATGCGAGGCTTTTTGGTATGCGTGACTTTATACGTGCGTCGTATTTGTGCGAGGCTTCTTTGTATGCGTGACTTTATACGTGCGTACGTCACCGAAATCGTGAAGCATATTGTTCATTTATCGGTGTTTAATGTCATTACATTTTAAGGTCAAATATTAGTACAAATTTAAGTTAATAACAAATTTCTAGATCGGAAGAATATTTTATCCCGTCCCCCGTAAATAATTATTGTGCAAATAAAGCAAATGAAAAATCTGTGCCGTTTAAGACACGTAAGTTTATTGAAGTACTTTTCATTATTCGTGGTTACTATATATTTTTGAGGTTATTAAAATGAAAATTATGTTTATACACAAGACAGATACTACAACTGTTCAAAGAATGAAACTGTATCGCCAGCGAAAAACTATACTAGTGAGGTGTATGGCATCGTGCCTCAAGGCAAATTGCTGGAACTTCCCGTAGTGTAACGAAATGTTCGAGGAATATTACATGTTTTCAAATAAAATATTTTAAATATTGAAACACTGTCTAATATTTATAAGAATTATATAAACTGAATTGCAAAGTTGAAATTATTTATTTAGTATATTAGAACTTTAGTCAGAGTTAAAAATAAAATCTGAACGTTGCATATCGAAAATAATTCAAACACATTTGCTAAAAAACTAGATGGTTTTGAAACTGATGAACCTATTTGGTTCTAAAAAATGTCAAATTTTTATTGCCATACATTAGTTTGGAATATATAATCGAATTGTAATATTTGCAATTGTTATAATGCAATGTAATGCAAGGAAGATGATTGATATGATTATATTTATTTTTAAATTTTAAGCGCAATACATGACGGATAAATGTTTTTTGGCAATAACGTTATTTTGTGAATTTATTATAAACTGTTGGTATTTTGCATTGAGGCAAGTTACATGAGCTTCCCTATATGTGTAAATAATCGACTTAATCAATAAAAACTAAATTAGTTTATGAGTGCTTAAAAATATTGCGAGTGAATTTATTACACATAATTGAAAAGGAACGAACTCGTTAACTTCTAATATTTTCTAAAAGCAATTTATCACAAATAAACAATTTTTATAAATGAACCAGTTTCCGTAGGACTTTAATGGTTTAATATATGTTCATTAAGACCAAGTACTCTGTCGTTATACCAAGTTTATAATTAGCCTTATTGTTTAAAAAATTGTTTAATGTTTTATTTTTCTACAAGAATACTACAAAAACTTATTATTACTTATTTTCAGTAATGAAAACATAAAACAAGACTGCTCGAGCTGACAATGAATAATGTTCAATGCTTGTTTCAATTATTAAACATCGAATTTGTGTTTTTCATAATGTGCAATAAGTATAACCTAGCTTTGATTACGACAAATATTGATAACTTGACAAAAAATCGAATATTGTCCAGAAGAAGAATAGAATCCTATTTGGCTTCGAAATCTTACCGACACTATATTTGTCGAAATGTATAGGTTCTGATAATGCACTGAATGTTTATGTAAATCACATGCGAGAGTACTTCGGAAGGGCTCTATAAGTCACTCGTAAGCTCTTGAAAGTTAATATAGATTCTCCAAGCTTTACATAGAATATGCGAACGATTTGACTAAGACCTTGAAAAGAAATTCATGACTTTTGCCTATATCGTAGCGAACAAAAATAAAATTGCAAACACTTTTAAATAATTGATATTGAATTACATTACTGTAATTTTAAAAGTAGCTTAAACTTACTTTATTATTTATTATGTCGATTGTTTACACATAATGCCTCTTTTACCAAGTTTGGTTTGTATTTTCATTAGCATTGCATATCTCAGAAAAAATGGATGTATTTATGCATGTATGTGTGTGTCCTGTATGTCCGCATTTTTTCGTTCACGTTACGGCACGGGAAGTTCCAGCAATTTGCCTTAAGGCACGATGCCATTCACCACTAGTATGATTTTTTTTTGACGATAGACATCATGGTCTTCTAGATCATACTAAAATATTACGACCCGACGACAAGGGGTTTTACTTTGTAAATTTGTCAAAGTTTTAAAAAATTAGTCGCGTTTTTTTTGGCGTTTCGACGTTTTCTCCAAAACGCCTGAACTGATTTCAAATTTAAAAGCCATTTGATTTATATTGTCGAGGAACATCGTTTTTCAGTTTTGTGCGACGATCGGCCGAGCCGTTTTTTTTTTTGTAATTGGCAGAAAACTGTAAATTTTTTCGTCCACTTTTCAGCTCACAATCCTGAATCTATTAAAAAATCAAAAGCTGTTCGAAAGATATTTGTTGAGAACTGATTAGTTTTAGGTAAAAATCTACCAGGCCGTTTCCTTGTAATAAACTGTTCAAAAAAAAATTGCCAATTTTTATGAAACTTTTTATGTTGATAGATATCATGGTCATGGTCGACATACTAACATTTTACGTTTCTATGGCAAGTAGTTTAATTTTGAAAAATCATCAAAATTTGAAAAAAATACTATAGTCAAAATTTATGTCGAAAGTTGCATTTGTGATGTGATGAGTCAATTTTCTTCGAGTCTATTATCAATTCATTAAAATTTAAAATAATAAGCTGCAAATTTAGGGTATACAAGCACGTCTGTGCAACATAATTAATATAATTACAGTTAATTTAATTTGAAATCGCAATGTTTAGATTTAATTGAAAGCGATAACTTTATTTTTAAAATAAACGGTTGAAAATTTTATATAAATATTTAAATTTCAATTTCGATTGATTAAATTAATTCTTACACATTTCGGGAAGTTCATGCAACTTGCCTTATGGCTAAATGCCTCCTTGAACTAGTTTCAATTTTCTTAACAATGTAAATATTTTCCCGTGCAATTCTATACTCTATTTGTAGCTTTCGAATGATTTTGAAAGTATTTTGAAATCATTTTTGTAGAAAAAAAATAGTAAGTACATATAAAAGAAACTAGAAGAAATATAATAATAGAATTTAATGCAATTACTAAGAATCTGAATTTGAAAAATTATCAGTCAGCTAATACTCAGTGTAAATTATATTATGTTATACTGCATTTTTTATTTATTAATTTTAATGCTTAAAGTAAACGTAATGGTCAATATTCTATAGTCAAGAATATCTTTTTCATAAAGCATATTATTTTTGAATTTTGAATATTTGATTAAAATCCATAAGCTTTTTATATTTGTCATTTTATTTGTGAATCATTTTATATTTACAAGAAATACATTACAATTTTTATTTGTTTCAATCGGTGCTTTACTGATTCGATTGCAGATCTTGAATTATTTTGGTATAAATGAGTCTTTCGGCATTTCTCGCCAAGAAAGTCTGTATGTGTAAATTTTGAGTCAGGAACTTTATAAATTTCTATCAAATTTATAAGATTGCCGGCCGTTCCTTTAACATCCTGCAAATAAAAATACATTGACATAAATATTTTTTCTATCATAAAGGTTGATAAGGTCATTTTGATTCAATACAAAGTTTACTAATTCATTTCATCAATATAAATATGTATAAAATAATCCTTAAATAATTTTGTCTGCATGTAATTTGTATTAACATCTTTATTTTCTGTTGTAATGTAAGAAAATAATATAAAAAATCAGTTGGGCGTCCATTAATCACGTGAGGTTTTTAGGGGGAGGGGGTGGTTTGACAAAAAATAACGAAATATGATGCGGAGGAGGGAAGGGTATAGTAATATATCACTTGTATTTATTTTTTAACCGATTTTTTTTAATTCAAATATTTTCAAAAAAAAATAAAAAATTTTACACTTTCATCACGTAACTAAAAATACATGTGATGTTTGTTGGGGGAAGGGAGTAATTTTGAATATCAACATGTACAAC